TACCGTAATTTTCGGACTATAAGGCGCACCTGAATATAAGCCGCAGCAGCTAAATTGAATGATGTGTACATATATAAGCCGCACTGGACTATAAGCCGCAGGTGTTTTAATGTTTAATTACCATATGTAAGGGTTCGTGCACAGAGGGGATTGTCGGGAAAGAGATGGCTGTTTGAGGAAGCTCCCATTTATTAACATTTCAACAAACAAGTTGCATATTTGCATAACGTATTCAAGTGTTACCATTTAGTGCAATAGTAGCTACAGAACATGTACTGTGCTGTGTAAACTGTACTGTATCACATAGCGTTTCAGACACACAAACGTTTCAACTTTCAAACTTAAACGGTGCGCTCCCAGCGCACGTACCGGCAGTGATCTACAGCAGCGGTTTTCAACCAGTGGTACGGGGACAAACTGTCTCGCTCTCGTAATGTCTGTCTGTCTTGCTCTCGTTCTGTCTCTCGCACCACTCTCGGTTCCACTTTTACTTTTGCGCGCTACCTGTCTCACTCTTTTCCGGCCTCCAGCTTTTCCTGCCGGAACCCGCCGCTTAAAGTTGGGGGTCCGCGGACCGGCCATAGAGCCCATAGAATTAAAGGTGGTGGCCGTTAGCTGTAAAAATCCATAGATTAGCCGCACCGTTATATAAGCCGCAGCGTCGAAAAAAGGGAAAAAAGGCGCGGCTTATAGTCCGAAAATTACGGTATTTTAGCTATATCATTCTATACTAGCTTGTTTTATGTACATTTGATTATGTTTGCTTTTTAATGACTGTTTTGAAATGCCAATTGTGTTGTGTTTCCGCTGCACTATTTTTAAATGCTCTTAATCTATTTCATTTTTGTAAAACACTTTGAATTGCCTTGTGTTGAAAGGTGCAGTATAAATAAACTTGCCTTTCGGAATAAAATGTGTAAGTATCAAAAACATGGTTTTGCCAAAATTAGTATTTTCTGCAATATTCTGAAATCTAATGGAAACATCTCATTGATTCTATTCCAGGGAGCCCTTGTGATGCTAACTCTTGGGTTGTCCTAGAAAAATATGACATCACTCAACCCCTCTATATCCTCTGAAACAACTACTTACTAAGATTGTACAATGCTGTCTTACCTGCAGCACACTTTAATTTGGTGAGGACCGCTTGATTTTGGCTATCTCGCTCTCCTCTTTGCTAAAAGAAACAGACAGATAAAAACAGGTGACATCACAGTGAGGAACTTTGGGTAACAAAGAAGGGCTTGCTGTTTCTCAAAATGAATGTTTGTGTGAGTTTCACATTAAACACTGTCCAGGAATGTGCTGTGTGAGGGCTCACCTCGGCTATCTCTGGCGTGGATTCTGCTTTGTTGACGTAGCTCAGAACATGAGACCAGTTCTGGAGGTAGACACTAACCTGTGGGCAGCGAGGACAGGGTTTAGTCCATCTTTGTTTCTTTAGTCTAATTGTTGAAAACTGCTCCAATACCCCTTTCCCACCAAACCCTTTCCAGTTCTAGCTCCGTGTTAGGGCTCTTCTGGTTTCAAACCGGTTCTCCTTTTTGGCCCCAGTTCTGTTTGCACCGCCTAGAGCCCGACTGGAGCGACGTTATGACATCATTGTGACTGATTTTTGGCACATCCGCTCTCAACAACAACAACAATGGCGGACTGTCGGGCCGATGCTTATGTTGCTTTAAATTTAGAAGCCAGATTAAATTAAAGAACGACTTCTCCAATGTTATACTCTTTCCCAGAGTGCAGTGCTTCATTGTTTACCAATGTGGTTCATACCGCTGGAGTGATACGCTGTTCGTCCACCGGTGTACAGCCGGTGACTGACGGCAGCGGCCGCGGGAAAGCAGTAACTCCATAAGTGGATGTGTTTCGGTCTGAAAGGAGACTGTTTGGTATCACAACGGCGTTAATACAGTTTCTCTGGTATTGGATGTGTGATATTAGCATAGCAACTGAAGCTCATCTGACTATCTTGACTGTTTGTTGCCATCATATTGTTGTAAAAAGCGTTTTCTACAGGCATATTTTAACGGCATATTATTCCTTATGATATTCTGACATGGCAACCTGTGTAGCCCATGTATTGATTTGGTTCTTGACGAGCAAACAAGTGGTGTCAACTATGTGTCAAAAAAGTGGATACAGGAAGAACTGATTCTTAATCAGGCACTATCTCTGAACTGGAACCGCTTTCGTGGGAAAGGGGTACTAGTGGTTTCCACCCCACACTGCTTTCTTTTTATGTGGCAGAAAGCATAAACTTGAAACCCAGGTTTAGCGTGCTTAATACTCCACAAAACGGCAGTACATAGAGACAAGGGTACAGAATATATCCATATTGAACCAGTGAAGCATCGCAAGCATCAATAACTCAGAATACTGGCTATTACCATGGTTACTGCCATATGATGTGTATGCATGTACCTTGATGACATTTAGACACATGTTAATGACATGCTTGGCACTGGTGCAGTAGTCTCTGGCTCTGGAGTAGCACTTCAGGGCATTACTGAGGTCTCCACAGTCCAGGTAATGATCCCCCAGGTCATCATGGCCTCTCCTGTGTGTGTGTGTGTGTGTGTGTGTGTGTGTGTGTGTGTGTGTGTGTGTGTGTGTGTGTGTGTGTGAGATACAGACTTGAGTCAAACATGCGAGGTGTGTAAG